AGGAAAATGACAGCGAGGCTGGAAACTGTCAAGAAGAGGCTTCTCAGCAATAGACTGTCGAGAAGCCGCACAAGGAGTCAGGCTTCCCAAGAGAGAGGCTTGGAAAGCATAATTCTGGGAAAGGGGCCTGTAGACAGACGTAGGAAGGAGCAGGTCTTAGTTGGTTAAACACAGATTCCCAGGACTGGAACCGAGAGGAGAGAGTGGCCTGGGTTCCCCTACCATCTCCAGAAAAGGGGGATAGGAACCCTGAGAAGAGGAAGCAAAAACTATAGAGCCCAGGCTAGGGCTCTGACTGGTGACCTGATACGGGGCCATGGGACTCTTTACTACCTTGCAAGGAGTAAAATTATGAACAAACTGGCTGGAGTTGTGAGAAGAGACCAACTGTCATACTGCCAAATTGATGTCTGGGGTGGGGGGAACTGAAGTGGAGTCACTGTAATGTCATGCCCCGCCATGAGGGGATGCAGTGGCCAATAAGTTCACTCCATTACAGTGCTGAATTAAAAATACTTTGCAGAACGTGGTGGCTTGGCACACATTTGCTGAGAGTCTGTTCCCAGCATAAAGGGGTGACGCTCCTGTGGTGGGCATTAGGCAAAAGGTGTGCAGCTCAGCTCAGCTCCAGGCCCATTTAGTTGGCAGTTGCAGCAGAGGCCAAGAACAAGTGGGCTAATTAAAAGGAGTGTCAGCTGTGGTATTTGAGCTCGCTACTAATTGCACTTAGGCCTCCAAACCGCTGTCCAGTCCTGACAATGTTGGATCACTACTGACCAGATCTGGACCAGTGACCTAGAATCAAATGTGTAATTGAGAAGCAGGTTCCAGGTACAGCTGGGTTTACAGATGAGGAAAGATAGTAAATACTATGACTATCGAACCTAGGAAGGAGAAGATTTACAGGGGAAGGAAATAATTAAGCGTATGAAGTCTGCGGTGGCTACCACTCAGTACCATCGTTTTACTATATCCCATAGAACTAGGACCAGGGGTTCTCCTCAAGCCCACAGGAATATTTATGACAAATAAAAGGAATACTGCATCTGAACTTAGTCATGGGCAATCAGAGTTTAGTACAGCAGAGAAATTTAAAAGAGTATCTGAATAATGTAACAACCAATACCATGTGTAGGTACGGGGAAGCTGATTGCTATGGGTCTGGAGGGTATTTTCCCCTCACCTCCTTCCCCTCCCTGACCAATGATAGCACTGCACAAATAATTAGGTGGATTATATATATTTTTTCACATTTTGCTAGATCATCTGATATAAACCAGTGCTAGAGATAGGAGAGAGAGCATGATGTCCCATTGGTCTAATTTGAGACAGAAAATCTTGTTTTCTTGTGTATGTTTGTAACAGGGTGACTTGCCCTGATGCTGGAGAGCCTGAGGCCAAGCCAACCCTGATTACAGAGCCCCACCTCAGGGGAATCGGGTGATTTCCTATAAAGAGTAGAAGGTGGCTGCGATAAGGGAGAGAACTAGAGGGAGGGGTCTTTTGCAGGGAAGACCATGAGAATTGCTCCAGCTGGAAAGGGCTGGGAGTAGCTTGCTAAGGCAGGAAGGACTGTGACCAGACCAGGGGATTGTGGGCTGTACCCAGCTGGAGGGAAGATTTTTGTGTTGAGTTTTGAACTTTAATAAATCAACCCCTAAGGAGGGCTTTTGTAGGTGAAGTGGAAAAGCCCTCTGTGGAGTTTATTTGGAGATCCAAGAAGGGAAACTGAGGTGAGGAGCTGCATGCAGGGCTGCCATGAGGCTGCCAGGGGGCACCATGAGGTGGCCACTCATCTACAATGGTATATAACAAAATAGGTGAAAAGGCATTTCAAAGAAAAATGCCCCAGTCCATTTGAAAAAAGCCCTGCTCCCCTATGCGGCTCAGGGCTTCTGTACTGTGGGGACTGCTGGATGGAAGAGAGATCTAATAGGGAGCTGCTGCACATCGTTTTCTCCACCCCACTAGTGAACTGTCCTTAGATAAAACAAGGAAAGTTTTGCCTCTTCTCTAAAAAATGACATGACATTTTGGTTTTAAAAACATCCTTCCCCCTGTATTAAAAGCCACCTGCAAGTCACCCTTCCCCTCCTTTTCCCAAGTGGAGAAAGGCTCTTCCTTAGCTCAGTCACTCTGTGCTCTGCACATGAGCTTGTGCAGCTGAAGTGTGAAATTAATACCCACCAGAAGGAAGACGGAAGGGAAGCTCTGCTCACAGGGGTTGGAAGGAAGCCCTAGAACCCCTAGAGGGAGAGAGGATCCTGACCAGGTAGCGAGAACGGCAAAGAGTCCCTAGGTGCCCAGGAGAAGATGACCTCTGTCTGATACTGAGTGACTAGCAAAGTCTGTCTTTATAAGCTCCTTGTGTATACACCTCTACCCCGATATAATGCGACCCGATATAACACGAATTCGGATATTACACGGTAAAGTAGTGCTCCGGGGGGGCGGGGCTGCGCATTCCGGCGGATTAAAGCAAGTTCGCTATAACGCGGTTTCACCTATAACATGGTAAGATTTTTTGGCTCCTGAGGACAGCGTTATATCGAGGTAGAGGTGTATATGTTTTCTGCAAAGGAGGGAGGTGTGGGAGAAACTGCCATTCACCAACTGGTCATTGACGCTGGCTCATGACCTAGGCTGGCTCAGTGATCAATAGAGACTCTGTGATGTAATGAAGGGTTATGACATCAGGAGTTTGCTGATAGGTTTGCCAGCAGGAAGTGCTTGTCAAGCCAATCATCGCTCACTCATTTAAGTGACACCTGGAATTAGGGTCATGCAGCTGCACCTCACACACCCTTGCATGACAGTTTAAGATTTCAGGACCCAAAACAAGGATTGGGGAGTGCCGTGAGGAGGAGGATTCTCCAAGCTGTCCTTCCCGCATGACGCACCTCCATGCCATCAATCGAAGATGTCTGACAGGCGGGATTCAGAAAAAAAAAAACTCAGTACTCTTTCTGATGTGGCAAAATTCAACTATGCCTTGAAGCAGTTTCAGACACTGATTGGAAAAACAGTCGCCCAGAAGAGGGAGGAAAGATTAGGGATGTACGTTAAAGATCAGGGTAAGAGACATTGTCTTTCTGATTGAAAGGCTGTGTAATTTGGGAGTGGAGTCTGGGTAGCTACGTGGGATGGCCCAGGATTCTACAGAAGGCCCAAACTAGCATACTGGCTAGGGCTCACCTTCCCCACTTTTAAGGGAAATATGCAGATTGCTCTAAGAAAATATTTCCCCCGATAAGCTAAAACCTACAGCAGTCTTATTATGGCCAGATTCTGTTACTGAGCCATTTACCCACAAAAACATATTCTTCCTGGCAGCATCCCCTCATAGTGATTCCTCATAATAGTACTTGATTAATCCTTACGTAGTGCTTTGTGTGTTTGAATGAATCAAACACATGAACCAATTGTCCAAGTCAGTCCATTTATATTATCATAAGTAACTCAACCTCGTGTAGGTTGTTACCACTGCAGGCCAGCAGCTTTAGGTGCACAAAAAAGTCAGCTTTATCACAGAACACTCTTTGACCTCAGAATACTCCTGGGTGGTAGGTTAGCAGAATGCTCTCTTAACCCATGAGATTTTTGGAAATTAAGAAGGTTGAAATTTTTTGGGCAGGGATGCTAGAATGAATTCAACAAGAAGATTGAGAAATTGAACATTAATGATGCTGAAGGTGAAATCAAACCAGGAACCAAATGTAGTATCATAGAAATGTAGGGCTGGAATGGACCTCAAGAGGTCATCTAGTCCAGCACCCTCTACCGAGGCAGGCCCAAGTAAATCTAGACAATCCCTGACAGGTGTTTATCTAACCTGTTCTTAAAATCTCCAATGATGGAGATGCCACAACCTTCCTTGGAAGCCTATTCCAGAGCTTAACTACCCTTGTAGTTGGAAAGTTTTTCATAATATGTAACTTAAATCTCCTTTGCTGCAGATTACACCCATTGCTTCTTGTCCTACTTTCAGTGGACAAGGAGAACAATTCATCACCATCCTCTTTATAACAGCCCCTAATATATTTAAAGAGTGTTATCAGGGCCCCTCCTTCCCCAGTCTTCTTTCCTCAAGATTGAACAAGCCGATTTTTTTTAACCTTTCCTCAGATGTCTGGTTTTCTAAACCTTTTATCATTTTTGTTGCTCTCTTCTCGATGCTCTCCAATTTGTCCACATCTTTCCTAAAGTGTGGCACCCAGAATTGGGCACAGTACTCCAGCTTAGGCCTCACCTGTGCTGAGTAATGCTGGGAAATTGCCTCCTGTGTCTTATCCAAAACATTCTTGTTAATACACCTCAGAATGGTATTAGCCTTTTCACAACTGCATTACATTGTTGGCTTATGTTCAATTTGTGATCCACCATAACCCCCAGATCCTTTTCAGCAGTCCTGCCTAGCCAGTTATTCCCCAGTTTGTAGTTGTTCATTTAATTTTTCCTTTCTAAATTTAGTATTTTGTGTTTGTCTTTATTGAATTCCATCTTGTTGAATTCAGACCAATTCTCCAATTTGTCAAGGTAGTTTTGAATTCTAATCCTGTCTCCAAAGTGCTCGCAATCCCTCCCAGTTTTGTGTCAGCTGCAAATTTTATAAGCATACTCTCTACTCCATTATTCCAAATCATTAATGAAAATATTGGCTAGTACTGGACCCAGGACTGACTTCTGCAGGACCCCACTAGGTACACCCTCCCAGTTTGACAGTGAACCTTTGAATATGGTCTTTCAAGGAGTTGTGCATCCATCTTATAGTATTTTCCACTAGACCACATTTCCCTAGTTTGCTTATGAGAATGTCATGTGGGACTGTGTCAAAAGTCTTCCTAAAATCAAGATCTATGTCATCTACTGTTTCCCTCCTCCCTCCCACAATCCACTGGGCCAGTAACCTTGTCAAAGAAGGAAATATGAGAAGAAACAATTTGGTAGTGTTCAACTCTGATGGATTTTTGTTTTGTTTTGTTATTTTTGTTCCAATACAGATGAAATAGATTATGATAAATTCTATGAGACAGTACAAACCCTCTTTGGTCCAGAAGTGAAGGATCAAGATGTTAAGACCTTTTTCAGGAAGATTAGCAACAATCCTGATGGAAGAATAGAATGGTGTGAGGTAAGGTTTATATATAATCTGAAATAGTGAAATGCCAGGTTAATTTATGCAAGTATGTAATCATTGACGGCATGGAATGAGAATGGATTCATGGAGAATGCACATAATCAAAGTGACATTTCCATGTAATTTATTACTGCTTCTATAAATATTTCATCTGCTACAGGCCAAAACACTTTAAAAAAAGGATCTTGCTTTGAGGCTAGATGGAAAATTAGCTAAAACTATTGTTCTGGTTGGTTAGAGAATAAGTGAAAGGTAAAATGTGAAGGACAGGCTTAGGGCATCTTGTTTCTAATAATATGAGCCTTTATCCAAGATGTTAACAAAACCCAATAACAAATACAATTTTGACAAGCTGAGAAAGAAAGAGGAAGCATTTATTTTTAGTTTGGTGGTGAACAGTTAAAAATACATGTACAGCCAACAATCTTAGGGACAAATTTTGCCTTTGGATGCACACATCTCCAATGAGAATATGCACATTACAGGAGAGGGGAGCTAAATTTGTCCCTTGGACTTTTTCCTCTGTACAATCTGCTCTCACTTGGGGAGCAAGTAAACATATCAGGGTCAAATCTTCCAAAATGCTGAGCACCTGCTGCAAGATACCGACCTGCTAGCTCACATTGATTGGGAGAGGTAGTGGGATGGATCAGTGCCTTGCAAGATGTGACCCTTTTGGTGCTGTGTGTTAGGGGTACAATAATCATTGTTCAGGGTAGAATTTAACCAACAAATACCATGCTCCTAGGTGCAAAAAATAGCATATAAGGCCTGGCTCTGCCCTCAGGAAAACTCTCACATTTAGGCACCTGAATGAGCATGTAGGTGCTCAAATACTTCCTGTAAAGGACTGGCTACCTCGCGGGTGTGTCATGAGGATTCATTAACTCTTATAGCAGGGACGAATTTGGCTCTATAATTTGTAAATGGAAAGTGTTATAGAAGTGGTGGCATTTTAACTGAAAGGTGCTTAATCATTGAATTGTCCTGGTTATTACTGAGCCTATACCAAAGAAGTACATGATTCTAAATAAAAATATTCATGGAAAATAGCTTTACAAGCAGCCATTCTGTGTAGGATGTCTAGCTGTATGCTGTAGCCAACCTATGCCAACTGAACCCATGACATTCTATTACCATAAGATTTTTATCTTCCACTTGGACAACTTCCAGAGCTGGGCACTGGGGACCTGATAACACCTACAGCGCAGTGCCTTTCCTAGGATTGCACTGTCAGAATTGGCTATATGGGCATAGACTTATTTGACTGCCCTTGTGGCCCAGAGGGACAGTGTTACTAACTAACCATGTTATAAATTCAAGAGGCAGACTTCCTCATTACTCTGGAACTTCAAATGATGTTTAGTGATCTCTGAGCTACCCAGCTCTTAGCCTTTGATAATCCATACAGAACATCTTCATATAATTTTCTAGCACCACTGCAGTGGCAATGCATTTGGTCCTGACAGTCTGGTAAAAGAGCTTCCATCCTAGAGTGATTCTATCAAGTCCCCGACTTAAATATTTTTGCTTGTGATTTTGTTCTTTATGATATCACTCTACTAACAAATTATTCTCAGATCAACTGTGTGTGTCAAGACAAAAAAATGCTTCACATTATCTGTGGGGCTTGGATGAAAGCTGTGATATGGTTGGCTGAAGAGGCTTTCAAACATCATGTAGTTAACTTCCAGTCAATGTACTTGAATCTATAGGGCCTTTTTATTAGCTAGATCTTTAAATCATGTTTTTGTTACAGCATTCACCTAGTGAAAGCTAAACGTAAAACTTTTCTCCCTTCATGTCCGCCCCTTACATTTCTTCCTTGTTCCTTCTTGCCTCCTCTCTTAAGATGAGACTTGAAAGGAGAAGCTGTTGCTAACCACCTCTCTTCAGCTTTCCTTTGAAACTCTGCTAGTAATAGAAAAGAAGAAAATGGGCATTTTCAGTGTTACAAGGACATGGTGCACAAGAGACGGGTTCTTGAAATAGCCAGTGGTGTTAAGAAATATACCAGCTACACTACAGGATTAGCCAAATTCTAGTCCCTGCAAGAACCTTGGCATCATTTCAATCTTGTAGTATCCCTTTGCATGGAGGTGGGATGCAGGCAGAGTGACTAAACAGAGGGGCTTCTGCACCTCCTGTATACTGCTGAGGCAGGCTCCACACCTATCCTAAATACAGCAGCATGGAAAGAACCAGATGGCAGCAAACTGGGAAGGATGTACTAAATCCATGGTTTAAAAGTCAGTGAGCCTTGCACAGAGAATAGCAGTGGCTATTCAGGCCCAGCAGCTGATATAGTGGCTGCGTTAGAGGGGTTGTGTTGGGGAGGAGGGTGAATTCCAGCTTTCCCAATCCTCCCAAACCTTAGCTTGATCACCACTTAGAATACTTTCCTGGGAGGGGTGAATTTTGCCCTGAGAGTTTAATGCAGCCAATAATTGGGTTAAGGCTGTTGTAAAAGAGTACAAGGAAAATGAAAATGACAAAATGACAGCCAGCATTACCCATGTACGTTAGGGAAAAGATTTAAAATTACTCAGAGCATCTTCATTACTTCCCTTTACAACAGCACTGAGAAAAAAATGGTTTGATGTACAATTTTTGGCACATTGTGCACAAGAGGGGAAATCAGCTGTTAATGTACTCACCACCGTTATTAAAAGGTGGGCGCAGGGGGACTAAAAGAAACAAAAGAACATAGGGATGTTATAGAAGGCTGCTCTTCATCAGCCTAATCATGCTTCAGGTGGTAAAAAAGACCAGACCTGCTGGATGAGGTTGTGCATTTATATGGAAGTGTGGCATTATTATTTCTGAAGGGTATATACAGTGGAATAAATCCTCCCCAGCCCTCCAAAAAGGAATATACCATCCAGCTAGCATTTTATGTAGATCTGGTTGAAATCTGTCAAAATATTAAAAAAAACAAAACAAATGGTTTTTCAACCAAAATGAATTTGGTCAAAATTTTCTGGGTTTTGTTGTTTTGTTTTTGAAAACCAAAATTTGTTTTGGCTGTCATTGGGAAAAAATGGGGGGGAAAATTAGAGAAATATTTGAGAAAAAGAGAAACATTTTCACATTTTTCTGCAAAAAATAATAAGCATTTTTCAACCAGCTCTAGTTGTAAGTGCTTGGGAAAGAAACCAGGTTAAAGCTGGCTGGAGGACTCTCTTCTCACCACTGAGAAGTATCAAAGGACTGGTTAGCATCTGTAAATGACCATTAACAAGGGGCAGCAGCCTGGTGGCATGACATATATTAATAGAGTTTAAGGCCAGAAGGGACCATTACCTCATGTAGTTTGACTTCCTGCATAACTCAAGCTGTTAAATTTCCCCTAGCTACCTCTGTATTGAGCTCAGTAACTTGTGGTGTAGCCCTCCACAGTTATGTCTTTGCTGTACACCATAGCAGCTGGTGGCAGTGTGGAATAGCACTTGGAACTTCCTGCTCCAGAAAGCACAGGCTCTGTACCACTTCAGCTGGAGGAGAATCTCTATAGTCTTTTGGCAGCAGAAGGTCTCTAACACAGCTGAGCAGTTCTGATTCCATCCCAGTAAAGGGCAGTGGTATACATAATACTTGCTAGTTTCTTACAACATATTGGGGTTACCAAAGCAACATGAGACTGTGACAAGCTTGGGAAAATACATCAAAACTGCTTCCAACTGCAACCTGGGATAGAGGGTATGGTACATTTTGTTGTGATTGCCTGTCATTTGTTCAGTTTACAACTGTTTACCTGATCAGGGAAACTCTTAAAGGACACCTGGCCCTCTGGCTGCTTTAGAAGCAGGAGTACAAAAACCCTTGCTGGATAAGGATTTTAAACATCTATGCTACCCAATTAGTGTGCCACCAGCACAAATGCTGTCTGAAGGTCCCAGGTCCCAGACCTATAAGCATTCTTCAGGAATATAATAGTAAATGCCAGCATTTGAATTCATTGTGTTAGAGCAGAGATTGAGTAAAAACTATCAATTGGGGAGCACATGAGCTGGTGAATTTTATATTTGTACGTAGGGTGCTTAAGATGCCTATTAATATGGAGGAAAGTAGTGTAATGTAAAATTGAATTAACAGCTCTCTTCATAGACAGCTCTTGGAAATGGAGGTCACAAATTGTACAGGATACTGTGGGAGGGAAATTCGAGATTTTAAAACATCTCCACTCTACAAATAAATGTTTATTTTTCCTTGCAAGAAATTATGTAATGACTAATAATAGAGAATAGTTAGAAAGTCACCCCAGCAATCATTCTGAAAATGGCAATGCTTAATTATGTGATGACTAGAAATAGAAGGAATTAAAGAAATGAAAGTTCTATTGAAGCTATTTCATCTAGGTTTAACCATAACCATCATTCTTTAAAATATGACACTGCAAAGAAAAGTTGTAGAGGTTTTTTTTTTAGTGTGAAATCTGCTGATAATGTGAATTAGAAGCTATCTGTACACCTTCGATGACTTTATAAATGACAGCACATACCAGGACATTAATCTAGGAAATGTATCATGTGGAGACTGGGTAATAAATGGAAACGGAAGCAAGAGCTGGAAACTGAACTACAAAAACCTGCAGAGTCCTGAAATTGTCCAGATTTTACTTATACTAAAACAGGGCAACCATTGTTTTCAAGGAGGGGGAGAAAACCATAACAGAAAATGTGGAAAAGTCAGAAGTGCTAAATGACTTTGTTTCAATTTTCATCAAAAAGATTAGTAGCGATTGGATGTCTAACATAGTGAATGCCAGTGAAAATGAGGTAGGATCAGAGGCTAAAATAGGGAAAGAACAAGTTAAAAATTACTTAGACAAGTTAAATGTCTTCAAGTCACCAGGGCCTGATGAAATACATCCTAGAATACTCAAGGAGCTGACTGAGGAGATATGTGAGCCCATTAGCGATTATCTTCGAGAAGTAATGGAAGACAGGAGAGATTCCAGAGGACTGGAAAAGGGCAAATATAGTGCCAATCTA